GGAGATTTTTCGAAGTTAATAGAGCGGACGTTCGAAATAACCAGTTTGTTTTGTTCGTTTTGTCCTCGAACGACGGAGGTAATTTAGATAAGTTTTATTCGTTTTAATGAGAACGAGTATCGCAGGATAGATGCTTTTGCATATAAGGGATAATATTTTCCTGTTATGACAAAAAGTATTGGTTTAGTTTATTAAATTAAAAGTATATTTCCCATTAATTGGCTATTTGTTTTTTCTATATATATACGTTCCCAATAATAATATTTTCCAAATTCTTCTATCACATGCATCTACAAAACTATTTTAATACAACAAGAACATCCTGCAATTCTGTCATAAAATTATTATCTTCAACATATACCTACGTAGCATTTATCAAGTAATTAATTAGGTACTTATCCTAGAGCTTTCTAATCAATTCGTTCTTTGAAGTTACCCATTCATCAGTTAAAACTCGAGGAGCGCATCTATCTGCATTTCAGATTCAGAACCTTTGTTCGTTTTCCAACACCAGTACCGGATTATTTCTATGCGTCATCGAAAGATACACTTTTTAATCAATTATTCTATTGCAATTTGACCTAATTGAAACTCTTGTAAATACTGGTGAATCAATTTAATCCACACATAAAGCACATATGGGTGGATACAGATAATTTATATGTCGTTACTCTGATATGTAAACTAAATAGTTTTTAGTGCTTCTTGTAATAAATTAAAGCTGCAGAATATATCCCGCTACTGAACTCATCGTGGAATTGTAGGAGTAATAAAATGCGAGATAAAGCTTGATGAAGCGAAGGCTTTGATGTGAAGACCGCCGTTTAACTGCATTGGGGCTTAGTCCGGCTCAGACCGTACACACCTGGTTCCAGCAAAGCAACCATCGATTAACAAATATTTATATATCAAGTCTGCTCGAAGACTAAGTGGAATGTCTTGTCAGATATTTGTCCCGGGTCAAACGTTCGGTTTTATTTTGATTGTTTTAAACGGATTGACAAACAGCCGGCGCAAACTCGCATCTTAAAATCCTCCCCTACACACAAACCAGTTAAGTAATGTGATTTTTTGCATCGAGTTATTGGTTTCATCTATTAAACCTCTAACGAGAAATGATTATCCTTTGTTAGGAGCAACATTTCGCCGGTAATGAGTCCTTTCATGGACCGTGAATGATCGAGTTTCGTCGCGTATTCCGATTTTCGAAAGAGAGGTATGCAGGCGATTTCGGTCCGGGCCCAACAAAAGGTGCTGTGTGGATAATTTCCTTTTCAAAACCTCTTTATAAATCAGATAACTTGGCCAATAATCAATTGGACGCGGTGGCTGTGGCAAATGCGATAACCGTCCTTATATTTATTAGCAGCGCTGTTCGTTGACGAGCTTTTGTTGTAAAAGGAAAAAATTCTAAAAGCAGACGGAATGCCACCCGATCCACGTGTAGTTTTATCTGTAAAGTATTATAGGTGCAAACTTGTTACAAATTCTTAATTCAATTTTTTGTTATTGTCGTATTATACTGTTATTATTACAATAATTGCGCATGAGTTTCAAGTTGTAATTCGATACATATTTCATGTACTTTCAAATACTTGTTTTATGCCAGCGATAATATCGTAGAAAGTACTATCTTTTGAACATTTACTATTTATTTTATCAGAGAAGAACTATTGTATATTGTCATATTGATTTGCTGAATATCATAATTTTTGCTTCGGTCCTTTTTACTCATTATTAAATTCCGAATTTATTATTAACAGTTAAATGATATTGACTCGTACGGTTCACAAGAACAAAGAATAAACGTTACGAAATATTTGTGGAATACCTGCTAGGTCCTCCTATTTGATTTTGCCATTAGTACACTAGCTCATTAGAACAATTTGTTCAGCGACAATGAGAATGCATCGCGTTGACCGGAAAAATCGTGCGCTTTTCTCCGGATTTAGGTAGATACATTAAAGCCGCGCTCCGGTAATGTGTTTCCTATTGTCTCAAAATAATTTACCCAAATATTTACTTGTTTACAATGAATTAACGTTGAAACATAAAATTTGGTAGGTAGGTATACTCTCGCATTAAGTACACTGTGGTTATTTACGGAGAATTCTGGAAATGGACACCTTTAAACTTTTAACTCGAGCATCTTCGCTAAAATAAATTCAACTTAAAAAATATTCCACATAAACAAGGGTAAAAGGTTACATTCGAAAACAATCCTGCTAAATTTCATACAAGAAAAACTGTTACAAATAAAGCCGTAAAAAATAGAGTCATAATAAATAAAAGTAAACAAGAAGGCGAGCATCCATTACGTTCACTATAAGATCGTTTCATTTAGATAAAATTGTTGATGTCGAAGGAGATATTCGCTAAACTTCTGTACTTAATGCTGAATTATTATTTTGTTTCTCCGTTCACGAAACAACTTCATTTTCCCTTGTAGTTTTATCCCATATTAGACTATTATTAGGAACGTTTTATGATATTGTAAAATTTTTAGAATATATGAGTACATATTATTTGAAATTTATATAGCATTTTTATTAACAGTTAATGAAACATTATACCTACCAAAAACTATAATGCCATGAGAAAATATTTTAATTATAGGTTTACCAACGTGATGCTTTTCTTATGTTAGTAAATGAATAATATGTACAGGAATTTCTCAGAGAGGAAGCGCAATCAATTACAATTTGCAGAAATGTATAACGTGAAGCCCGCCCCTGATCGTCGGGCTCACAAAAACCGCTAAATTGGCTTTCGGCGTGTACACGTTTCCGAAGCAAGTTTCGTCGTTGAAAGAAAGAAGAAGAGAAGGCGGCTTTCACGGCTTGTTATAATAACTTTGTAGTTTCCCAAATGGGATCTTAAGTACCCGCCGACAGTCGACAGCCGGTGGAAACAAAATCACACTGTAGATTGTACATGTATACCTGCCGGTTAGGCCGCATGGACCATCAACACCGGATTATTTATGTCGCTTCGAGTTTGAGGGAGAGCCGATTGTCTCGTTCATAAGCGGGGCCAAATACGGGAATCGGGGATCCTAAAGTCTAAAGGAATGTTGTTTTGAAATTAATATTTGAGAATTTGTTATTAAATAGTTAGGCGAATTCCCAAGTTTCTGGATGAAAGTTGTAAGCTGCCTTATACGTAATTTCATCTTTCATCGGGTTATTTTAATAATACTGTGGTTGAACCTTCTTTCTACGCTTCTGATACGGTTAGTATTAACAGGTAGACAAGAAAATTTGATTACTTTACCCTATATACAAAACCGCTTTTGAAAGCGATACCGACCTAGTATAAACTACAGAGGGATAATACCTTTTGGGATTATAGCAATTGAGAACAGAGTTTTTGGAATTTTTTTCGAACCATTCATCTCAATATTCCCGTAGTTAATGATATTTTATGCTGTATACTTATATCTATAATAAAGTTTTTTTTCTATAGACAACTATTTTTATTATCTTCTTCAGTGATCCGATAGTCCATTAATTTTCTAGCATTCCATCAGTTTGGTTCAGTGTCTATTTGTTAAAATTAAGAAGTTAAATTCGAATCACCTGAATTCACTGCGCCCGTACTGTTATACAAATAGTGAGCACGACCATTTGTCAAATACATAATTAACGTCGTAAAATATTGTTTCAAAGCTAGGTGTTGGGACTCATTAAGTAGATTTCAACAATAGCAGTAGCATGCAGTCTGGCAGAGCATTTTCTAGTCTGTGCATTGACCCGTCTAATTATGGACATCTAATAAAAAATTTTTTTCCTTCGAAAAAATAAACCGCGCTGACGTTACGAACGTAAATAAGAAAATAAGTCGGGGCACTATTTTATGATTGTTGACAAAAACCGCAACTGAACTTTTACTTTTGTTCGGTAAAATACGATGTTAATTCTATAGTCGAATCTCAATATGGTTATCGTATCTTTATGGTGTACTTATGTTATAGTTAGTAAGATTAACGAAGATTATACCGAGAAATTCTGATATGTAATTAATTTAATGCGCCACACTAAAAACTTTACAACAGGAAATTAGGATTTTTCGAAGAAAACCTCTAATTATAACGATGCTGGTCGAATAAATCAAAAAATTCCATTTAAGCTTTTTAATAAGTTTCCACAGCAGTTTTAGATTAAAATCAGTACAAGAAGTTCATCATCTGCTATTAATTCACACTTTACGACGCTATTAACTGTATGTATGAAGTTATTATAATATTAAATTATACACCGTTTCGGTTATCGACAAATAATAATCTTTATAGTATACGAGTGTAGATTATACTTTCTACGAAATATAATTTTTAGTTTTCATACCTGCACATTCTTTATTAAAGTCGTGATCACATCATATATGAATAATCAGGGATATTATAGATAATTTGACATTAGAAATTTTAACCCTCGTTGAGCCCTTAAAAACTTTTTCCCTATTTGTTATATTTTTTATAATAGTACCTACTTTAATAGTGAATAGATATGTTTCTTTAGGTAGATTGGTATATCGAGTGAATTTTTGAAAAAGAATTGTACTTGATCCCTTTCATTTAATATAATAATTCAATAAAATTCTTCTGTTATGATATAGATACTTGTGAGTATAGTTTTTCTAATGCTAATTGGATAAATATTTAAATTTAAATACTATTTCATACATATTTCATTCACAATGTGTATGTACCTACATTTTCAAAAATAATAATAAAAATAAGCTTTCTATATTAATTTCTCGTAGAAAATTATGTAGGAACTTTCTATGCACATTGTAGTAACTTTGGAAATACTATAGATATAGTTCTTTTGCTTCAACAAAATTAGGTACATTTTCGAATTGCAATTAAGCCGAACAACTCACACCTACACTCGAAGTTGTTTTAAGGATTCTTTATTAGGAACTACAAGAGTAAAGTAAACATAGCAAAAATATATTCAACTTTCATTCATTATAGGAAAATAAATTTAAAGAAAACTCACCACCAGTCCGCATCCGTGTGCTGCAGGAAAAGCGTCCATAGAGTAACGGAAGCGAGGAAGCCGGCGCCGCGACGCTGCATGCCGCGGCTTTCACCACCAGAGAACGGTCGCACTGGCCAAACTGTCGCAACTCGCCCGCACCGGAACCAGCTCGGAACTGACCACACGAGTGCATCGCGTTGGATTTGAAACGCGCCGCACGGCAGCAGGCGAGGGCGGACGCTCTGTCGGGCATCGCGGCGTCTTATTGGACGCCTTCAGTGCCGTCACGCCTTTTACACCGAATCTACGGATTATTAACACGTGCGACATCCAGAAGCTAATCAATTTGCATACGAGAAAAGCTCCACTGGCTGCTCGGATAAACACCGAGCGCCCGTCTGCAAAATTATACAGTATACTTTTAGAACGATAAAAAATAAATTGTTTTGTGGATTGATAGATAAACAAGTAATGGAAGTGCATTCGCCTATATGTATAGTAGAGGATCCCAAGATCGCTTTATAAAAAGTTCTGCATGGTCCAAAACCCAAAATATCAGTTATCAAAATTTAACAGTCATATACGAGGTTTGTCAAAAAATGTGATTATTGCTCATCTAAATATTTCAACATGTAAATAAACAATGATGAATATTGAAAATTATTTTTAATTCTAAACATTTTTTCTTCACATTAATTTTCGATATTCTCAAAAATAAGGGTACTTTTTGAGCAATAATCACATTTTTTGAAAAACCTCGTATATGACTTCTAAATTTTGATAACTGATGGTTGCATTTTGGGTTTTGTACCATGCAGAACTTTTTATAGGGAATAACTCTTTTTTCGAAAACTTGATAATAAAAAACATACATTCAGATTCGTTCACGAACATATTTCATACAATAAAATATAATTTTCACCTGGTTTACAAATCGGTGCAAATCGACCTTACTTCGGATCTTAGACTAATATTTATTTTCCAACGGCTCGATTAAGTGTAAATTTCTGGGATATCACAAAGAGCAGATAAATGCATTCATTCATTCATTCGGCATTCAAATCGCGCTTTGCGAGGGAAGCTCTCGATGAAAAACACTTCTAAGAAGCGCGCAAAGTTCAAAAGGACCGACGGGCTGTGTGCTTAGCCCTCCGAGCCGACGGTGTGAACTTCTAAAAGTGCCAAACTATTTCTGTCTTAGCCGGTACTTTGAAATTCTTCTGTTTGAATAATGTAAAAACGCTTTATTTGCCTAAGCTAAGATGTTTACATTGATCCATCAGCGGCGGGAATTCACGCAGGCACTCCATGCAGAAAAGGATTTTTTAGAGTAAGATTGTGTTGAATAAATGGTAAATTAAATTGCATTCTATTAAGAAATATAGAATAGGCGTATTTCTCATTTTTTAAACGGTAAAAATGCACATGCACTCTGTCATCTTTATTACCAGTGGTGACATGTGTACTTCCCTGATTTTTCTAAAGATTTCTTAAAATTATGTTCAACTATTTTATACACATACGTATTTCATTAAAATAATAAACTTTATTTAAAAATCTCTTACCGATAAAATCTGTAATCTAATACAAATATGAAACACATCGCTATTGTATCAACAAACAAATAGTCCACATTAAAATAAGAAGAAGCATATTGTCAATGTCAAATAACGTCAACTGTCACGTCATCATTACTTTCCGTCATATTTGCGAAATTGTTGTTCCATAATCCATAATAGTTATGTGATTGAAGATTGAAGTATATTCAGTATATTGTAAAATTATTCGAGTTTTCTAGTTGGAGTTTCACCTTTTCAGCATGCCTTTCATGTGATATTGGGAACAGCATGTTCCAATTTTGTGATTTTGCTAGAAGACGTAATTAATTTGAAAATTCAAGGTAAAATTCGCAAATAAACAATTAACTACAGCTCGATAACATTCTTTTGTATTTTTAGATGTACGATATATCTGTAGTGTATATGAGAAAGGAGACAACAGAACTAATTTCTGCCTTATTAAATCCTAAAAAAGTTATACCGAACGAAAACGGTTTATCGCGGTAAGTTGCGGTTTTTAAATCGACCGAAATAAATGGCAATAAATTATTTATAAATCTGTCATAATCGCGATAAATATATTCGGAATATAGTATTATTTCCAAAGCGAGGTGTGTAAAATTGCGCTTTAAATTTTTATTAGTAGTAGAGAAACGATTTTATTATTTACAACCTTTTAAACATTGATTCAGTAAAAATGTTAGCTCACTTCAACACATGACAAATTATTACTCAATTACGTTTATTATTGTAATCTTAAATGATTACATCTTGTTAATTGGATTGTCCAATAAAATGCAGGTGTTTTCTTTTTGTTCAGCTAATATGCACGATTCTCCATTGTAAATTCTTTATTACGTAAACTCCTCAGGTTCAGCTTAAAAAATGTTTATAATTTGTCTCTTTCCAGCGATTGGCACGGTTTGGCAGAACTATGCGGAATAGGTGGTGAGAAAATCCCCAATATCGAAAGAAGCAACGATCCAACGTTAAAAGTTATAGAAATATGGTCGGAGAAAGATAGAAACAATAGCACAATAAAGAAATTCATTTCGTTTTTGGAAACGCTAGATAGATTCGATATCATTGACGACATTACACCTTTATTAGGTAATAAAACGATAACGTTTAACACCTACGTTGTTATTTTAAAACGATTAAAATTCCTTTCCAGATTTTTTTATTATATCATTGCATTGAAATTTTTTAATAACGAGTTTACCACGCATTCAATGATAAGAATGTAACGTTGTTTAATTTTTGTAGAAAAAGATGTAGATTACTTCAGGGCAAATCCCAATGGTTTCACGGCTAGTCTCCAAGACTTCGACGACAAGGATATAATAACATACGATGATGCTGAAAGAAAGAAAGCGGGCCTTCCGCCGGAAATGTACGATGCTTTCGTTCTCTTTGACGACGATGATATAGATTTCGCGACAGAAATAATAAAGACTATGGAAGGACAATACAATTTGAAATTGTGCGTTAAAGATAGAGATGTCGTCGGTGGAGAGTCCAATCACGATTCCGTTATTAGAGTAATCTCTACAAGGTGCCATAGAGTTATTGTAGTAGTTTCTCCCGCTTTCTTAGAGAGCTCGATAAATAAATATTTCTACACTTTGGCTTCTATGGATGGCATTGGTATGTTTTGTATACCTTAAAGGGGGAGACATAATAAATTTGTGTTAATTTATAGAGAGGCAACGAAGAAAAATCATCCCGTGCTTGTACAAGAAGATAGAGAATTTGCCCATAGAGTTCAAAGCGTTTCATTTTCTTGACTATACCAGATCGGAAATAGTATTTGGTAGTTTTTGGGATCAACTATACAAATCATTGAAAGTTATATCACCTCCTACTCCGAGTAATCAAACACTTACAGTTACTGTTCAGAACAGCAAAAGAATACAGCATAACGTGTATGTATTCTCCTTTTTCATCATCACTTTTATGAATGACATAAATAATAAAGTTTTTTTTTTGTATTAGGGATCCTTTTAAATCATCAAATCACGTGAAATTCGCGTTGCTGGATAGCCAACCAAAGGAGGCAGAGCCCGATGCTGAATCGACGAAAATTGTGAACAATTCTAACTCGGTTTCTTCACCTTCTGTAGTAGCAACTGGTAAAGAACTGAAAAAGAACAAATCTTTGTTGAATAAGTGCAGGAATTTCCTTCATAAAAAGATCGAGAATAAAAAAACGGAGGTGAAAACCGAAGTGCCTGAAATAAACGGGTTGACGTTGACGAAAAAGAAGACCTTTTGGAAGAGTAGAAAATTAAAAGTCGAAGTGACGAATTGATGGTATCTCATCAGAGTCGGTAACTTTCTGACACGATTGGTCAATTATTTTTACATTAAAGTATAATTGAATATTTTTAGTATGAAAATTGTATACTAAAAATCACAAATTTATACATATTACCAAATGTGTTTCAAATGTATTTTTGCTTAGCAGAGATTTATTTTTTTACCAACACTAACATATTTCGCTTTGGAACCATTTTTAAATGCCTATGTTTAGTTTAAAAATTTGTGTAAAGCGATTCGATGTTACCTGATGATCTGCATTAATAAGGATCTGTAAAAACGTGGTTGCAAATAAAATGTGCAAAACTATTCCTACAAATAATTAATTATTGTTGATCAATTTGTGTTGTATTTTTTAGTCAACTGTAGATAGTTTGTTTATAGATAATTCAATATAATCATATCGCACGAATCAAGAAGCCTTCACCAATTTTGTAGCTATTAAGGTTTTTTAGACGTATTTGGTTTCCATTGCTAATTGAAATATTCGATTGATATATTTTAATGAAATTGGAGTATTATTTTTTTTTATTTATGACATTATTTTTGTGAATTGTTACATAGTGCTTTGAGCAAACAATGTGTCTTTATTCCATTCAACCATTAGATTGTTATTAAATTAATGGAAATGTGTAAAATACCACCTTCGTTTCCATGTAAGCCATAGAACTAAATATTTTTATATATTTTTTATAAGTTGCTAGTCATTGTATTGCTTATATCAGCAACTATTTTAAATTGGTTTTTATTCCTGCATAATATCACTGGATTAAAACCAATTTGTTTAGTCTAATAATTTACCTTTTTTATTAAAAACAAAATGAGTATAACTTAGTATTTTTGTAATTCGTTTTGATTCTTCCAATCTACTCTTTAAAAGAGTATCTATAATAATTGTGTAGCTGATAAATCATCAAAGGCCAATTTTATTTTTAATAAAAAAATATTTTGACAACTTTTTGATTTAACTAAAATTCCTTATATTCATTTATAAATATTTCACTCTGCTTCCTTATATCCTTGGGCATGAATGATATCAGAGTGAATAGTTGCAATGACACAAATGTCGCTCTATCTTTTTCCTTTATAAGTGTCTAATGGAAGTTGTCTTTGTCGCACTTATAGCCTATATAACCTATGTTGCGATCTAGAATGAAGCACAGTGTATGATAAAAAATAGAGCACAGTAGAATTATTAAAAAATCAATATACATTAGAGTAAGTTTAACAAACAAAATTATACATTTTAGTAAATAGGTCCATCTTCTAAATTATCGTCTTCATCATCATAATCTTCCCCATTATCGAAGTAATTGTTAGCATAGTCTGTACCATCATCCATTTCCTCATCCTCTTCGTCTTCCTCCATGACTTCAGGAATATCTGCATCTTCTTCATCATCTTCACCAGACTTACCAGCCTCACGGGCTCCTGTCGTCTCGGAAGCTTCAATCTTTTTCTCTAGTGTTTCTAATACCTTTAACCTTAAAGAAAATGTTAAAACATATTCACATAATGCTGAATATTAGTACCTTTGTTCTACGTCAACTTCTTTTGTAGTTCCTTTCTTGATGGACCTTTTGATTGACACTTTAGGCCTTAATTCGCTAGGGAATAATCTCCAATCGTATTTTTCCTTTGTACTCGGTATTTGAGCTACAAGCTTGTCTATTTCCTGCTCGGGCTTAGTTTTGTTTCCAGGTAATTTTAGGTACGATCCAGACAATTGCATGTGATCAATGAAGTCTTGTCTTAATATTAGAAGGTAATCCATTTCTAAGGTTTGCTACAATACAATTAGCACATTTTACGACTCTTGCTTGTTCAATAAAGGTCTTTTAAGGGTTAGAATTGGTGTAAATATAAATGATGAAAATTCGAGTATCTTACATTTAAGGGAACAGGCCTTCGCTCTAATAGGGGAAATAGCATGGGAGGCTGTAAAACTGGGCCAGGAATAAGTTCCTTATTTCCTACACCTAAAGCGATAAGCTGTTCTCTATTCATAGTTTTCGAGATTCCACCTCTCCCGCCACCTCCTCTGCCTCGTCCACTCATGTTGTATTTATTTAGCTATTTCTAGTTTCTTCAAATCGTCTGCTAAACTCTTCACTTCTCCAAATTCCTTTTTAAATGTTTCCTACAGTAAAAGACAGTTTTACTCGGTTCAACTTCAGTTTTACTCGGTTCAACTTCACAATGGGATACTTACCAAGTCGAAAATAACTTTAATAATCAACGAACAACTTGGACAAGTCGCAACTTCTTCTCCGGCGAGTAATTCTTCCTAATATAAAAAATAAGACATATTACCGAAGATACCTAACCTCAATGTTCCACTCACTTTTGTGATTTCAAATCGATCTCCGCAGGGACACGGATAATGATAAACGCCGTCGTCTTCGTCGTACTCGAAGTCTTCTATTTCTACTTCGTCGTGGAAAACACTCATTACGTACTAATTGACTAATACTTTGTTAATTTTAAATTAATTGAAATCATATACATACCATAAATTTATATGTATATGATTGAAATCATATGGAAATTGGAAATGAATGACATTTGACAGTTTGAATTTCTTCTTAGGGTAAAAGTGGGCCTTTACCATTCAGGCTATTAGGCATTTCTAGAATGTCAATCTCCTGACCAATTTATCCTTTTCCCTGTTGAATTTTCTATTTTTTAATACGATTTCTTTGGCTCGGGAATTAAGTAATATGCATTTGATTGAATGATTAAATAAATTATTTATTTACAATCTATTCAGTAAAAACAAAATATTAGTTTTAAACTTAATTTATAATAGTAGAGAATCCTAATATAACTACATAATATATAAAATTTCACTGTAATGCTTAACTTCTAGTAAACGATTAACCTTAAATTAATTCGTTATTAACCACTTATATAACATTAGATATAATTCAAGTAATATAAGTTAAGAATTTAGAAAAATATTAATTTTCTACATTTCATGTAGTAACTAGACTTTAAAATACTTAACTTATTTAACAGTATTAGACCAATTGCATTGGTCACAAAGCCTTTTACTAATCTAACAAAAAATATAATATCTATGTATAGTACACGATTGTAACTTCAACTAGAATCTATAAAAATATTCAGATTATCACAAAAAATTCATGGAAATTTTAGCTTGTTAGGATCTGGATATTCTGGAATCTCTATGGCTCCCTTACCGAATTTCAGCTCTAAAAAATCCCTAATATTATTGGGGCTTGGCACGTTTCTCCCTACGAACTCTATACTAGACATGGGATGAAGGAAGTTCTCCGGAAATTCCATATTCTTGTGAGTCGTGTACCACGAATCTCTAGCCATAGTGCCGTTCTTGGAAAAAAACGGGAACAAATTAACGTGTATCTTATTCACTTTGCTGAAGTGAACGCGAAAAAAATTTCCTTCCGTGGCCTTCTCCCATAGGAAACCCTTAGTATCGACAACTGATCTAGATTTAGCCTTCTTAAGCCATTCACATCTTGATGAATCCTCTCTAATAAAACCTACATCTACATCATGATCCCAGGGTAAGATATCGCCATTTCTCATAGCTCCCAACAAACTCCCAGCTTCCAGCCAATACCTCACACCATTTTGATCCAACATGTTGAATACATGCCTCGCAGTTTTCCTTAAATTAGATAAACAGCACGGCGGGGTCCACCGTTTTTCGTACAAATAAGAAGGCATCGAATCTAAAATAGTACCAAAACATCTAGATGTATCTTTCGTACAACCATACCATTCTGTGAGGCCGGTTTCTCTTACGACCCTCTTTATTTTAAACACATTATAAAGGCTCTTTAGTCTCGAAACTTCGGCTTGTTTCTGTTTCCATTGGGAATGGTGAGAGCGAAACAAAGGCTTGCCTTCGTGGAAAGACAACCCTTTCATAATGGTCACCTGCAAAATATTATCTTTTGCATTTTCACTATCCAGAACTTCTATCAAATTCTATTTAACGATGATGTGTCGAATTGCAAGCAATGAAACCATGCATTTTCATGTGATATTTGGAGAAAAAAATCTCTTGCTACGCTGGAATATGCAACAACTCAAACTCATGCTTTTATCAACTGCTACAATACGTTTACGAATGTAATACTCACAATCACATCATTAACTAAAACGATGAAAATAAAATATAAATACATTCATTATCCTACATGTTTAAATAACTTCAAATGCAACTAACATCCAGGAAGAAATTCAAACCAACCTTCAAGTCTAGTGAGGCCGTTTGAAGGTACAGCGAATGGGGAAACGGAAGTAAAAAAGCATTGGAAACCCTCTGTAGTAATTCGGTTTCCATTAGTATGACATGTTTACCAATCACAGCGTGGCAATTCGTGCTTTTAACTAGATCAAACTTTAACATCCATTCTCGAGTATTAATAATCATTCTCAAGCAATTCAAATCGTATTTGCGATTGTTTGTGGCAGCTGCGATTATACTCCCGGGGTTCGAGGAGAGTTTGTTAACCATATGTTGTAAAGTTTCTCTAGAAGACAACCTCGTCGAATCAGGAACAAATAATACGTACTTGGTCAAAATGTTATTCAAAGGGTATATATCCTTATAGGTCAATCTTAACTCCGGGCTTAGTTTTACGAATTTTACGCTTGAAGAAGTATCGTTATTCAACATAATATCCAGAGGCGGATAAGGGAATTCATCGTACATTATATACTGTTGCATCGTTGCGAAAAGGTTTGTAAAAGATTGCGAAGTTAATGAGACATCGTTCTCGTGTGGCTCAAACTCTCTCATTATGATGGTTATTTGTTCACTTAGTTTTTTCCTAGGTATTGCCATCGTTGGTTTCACTAAGTTCTCTTCGATAGTGTTCTCTAGCAGACTTGAAATCAAACGAGTAACGAAGTAAAACATTAGTATTTTGAACAAAATCAACACAACCAAAAACAGACATGACTTGTAGGACTTTAAGCGCATAATAAAAAAATTACTGCCTCAATTTATGTCTAATATTTTCATGATTTGTCTAGTAATTTTACTCATTAGAAACGCACTTTAAACATTCTTTTAAATATTTAATTACTGTAAAAACGAAAAGAAATCAATTACTTGTCACAAGTGTTCATGTCAAAAGTCAATGTCAGTTGCTTGTCAAGAGCTAATTCATCTTTTTTATAAAAGTAGAGTAATATTCAACAAATTCAGTAAATAGAAATATGGCTTTTAACTTATCTGTTTTACAGCTACTTTGCGCATTCTCTATTCTGTTTCTGCTAAAATTCGGTTTCTAAAAAAATCAATAAATTGCAACACATTTTCTTAAAAAAACATAAATAAATGAAACGAACTCCATGCCGTTCCGTTAATAAAATAATCGATACGTCGCATCCATTACTGATATGATCAGAAAATGCCTCAAGAAATAAAATGCTCAGTTATTTTTGCATCAAGTAAGTTCAATAAAATTTGAAAATAAAAGTTGTTAAAATGATTATTCCAGGCGAGGATCCGAAATACAAGTATTCAGAGCTAAATTCGCACGGACCCACTATCAAGGGATGGCAGTCGGAGAAAAATTGCGAATACCCGCAGGAAGTTATACTGAAAACAGGGTTTCGATGTCGATTGAATAAAGTTCAAATTCTCGTCCACCAATACATGATACGTATGTTGCTTGTTGCTTTATTCGACTGTATATCTGCAATGTCAAATTTTTAGCTTCAAAAGTCGAACTGTTTTTAAGCAACGAAGACCACAACATTGAAAATCCTGACAACATAACATGGGAGTACCTCGGTTACATTACCCTATCTACGAATGAAGCGACTGAGTTCAAAAGTAGGGAATTAAAATCTGCGAACGTACCGAAAAAAGAAGTTACTTTTATAAAGATAAATTTACTTAATAACCATTTTAATTCTCTTAATGAACATAATCAGGTATACTTTAAATATTTAATTCTACGAGTAATAATAGTAATCGTAAAAACTCTTCCAGGTTAGCCTTATAGCTGTAAATATTCTCGGAAGTGATATAGATAATAAACGTCCTACGATTGAAAATGATGAAGCGAAATTATACGATATTTTACACGATTCCGAATATTTTTCCCCTTATGATGATCTTGCCTTTTCTATGTACGTGGATGTAGACATTGCTAAAATTATTAGAGACATGGAAATTAAGAAGCATTTGGCTGTGATAAGTATGTTATAGCACCAAATCGTAGCTATAAATTGCTATAAGTACTGTTTCTAGATGAGAGGTTCGAATATGCCAGGAAATTAAAGAACGCCATGGTAAAATTGAGAACTGCTGGAGAAAAGCTGGCCAAATACGAGCTAGAAAAACGATACGCTATAGAAATCGAAGATTACGAGAAAGCCAGATTCAAAAAAAATCAGTTCGAAGTGTTCCGATCCGAAACATTTCAGGAACTGTGCGTAGAACAGTTATTAGAGCACAAAGGGGTGAGAATTCTTGTATACAATTGAAGTATAAATTCTAACTCACGTTCAATTACTTCTCACGTACAAATTACAGATTTGTTCAAAAAATGATGAATTGCAAGACGAATCGCTCACGAGCCTTCTTTCGCCTGTACTTACTAAACACACAACGGATGCAAAATCATCGCCCAGTCATCAAACCAACAGTCAAGTATCACCCATGCACATACCGAAGCATCTCAGCCCCAAAACAGGCTCCCCTTGCACCGGCAGCCCCACTAACTTGCAAAGCAGGGGCGGGTCTTTCAGGCGTAGAAACAAATCGGCCGGAGCTGCAGTTAAGTCTACTTATGAGATGTACGAAGAGAAACCACTCCCTGCTTTGAGGCAGTATGTTTATAATAAACTCTTAATTTATGGAGTCACTGATATTCGTTTTTATAGCTCTCAAACGAACGAATTTCTACGAGAATGCCAAATGGAGCCCGATCACAAAACCACATCGAAGCTCACCGAAAGAGAAAAGAAACAGGCCCTTCTGCCTATCGAGGTATTTGGGAACGATTTGGTCGAGAAGTTTTACTCGAAACACTATTGTGATAAAGAAGAAGGCCTAAATAACTTAAAAGAAGAACTGCTATCGTACGATTGCAGTAAATTACATGTACCCAATAAAGTTGCTCGCGCTGCTATATTTTTACTGCACAGGTGCTTGAGAGACAAGGTTTTCTCGGTATATAGTTTAGCTAATGAAGTTATTAGGTTGTTTTTTGTCCAGTTTGTGCCCGGCAGGTAATGTTTAGATGTAAGAGCGTACGGTTTATAGTTAAGAGGATTATTATTTAGGGTGACGCAAACCGAGGTGGCTAGAAGCGTTGATAAATTGCTACCGGAACTTCTGACTAAATCCGGTGATACCAGCCAACGTATCAATCAAATGGCCGTGCACACGATTCTCACTATGGCAGATTGCAAGAACGTAAGGTAATTTATATCCATTTAGTGCGAGTCGGAGTAAATACTAATACGTTATTTATAGAGATCTTCATATTATTCCGGTGCATTTAAGTAGACCGGTAAATAGTAGTACTCATCCTAGGCTAGCGTTAAGTAGAGCAGAAATGGTAGAACAGCTTATCATTAATCACGGAATTTCCACGGAAAAGCAAAGGTATTTGCAGAAAATTATCAGTTGTTTCAAAATTAAATATAAAGGCCCGTATTCAGCGACCCATTTTAACTTTAGAGTGACTCTAAAGTCGCGTCTTTAACTTGACAGTTTTACATTGTTGTTATGGAGTAACTAGGGACTCGAGACGCGACTTTAGAGTCACTCTAAAGTTAAACAGGGGCGCTGAATACGGGCCAATGTCTCGTATATGTGTACTCGAGTGTGCTTGATATAGGCCAGGTTTATTTTAATTTTTAATTTTTGTAGTTTTGTTATTAGAGATTCACCTAGTATTTTTAGTTTTTTTAGAATCAATTCTCCATTCAGCGTTTTTCCTTTTTTATTTTTTGTTCTAATGAGGTAAACGAAGGTGATAAACAGAGTAAGTTTTCGAGCGGATAAGTAAGTGATATTTTTATACAGGATGGCCCGCATAAGAACCCACACAGAACAGGGGTGTGTAGGGGAGCCCAAAATATGTTGTTTAAAACCCAGCTTAAATTAATACAAAGTTACATTTCTGTGAAGTTATAGAGCTTCAAAGTGGAGTTACAAGTTACAAATAAAGTCATGTGCACTATCAATGTTACTTAGAATCGTCGATAATTCTAAAGTTGAGTCAAACAAAATATTTGGGCTCCCCTACACGCCCACGCTCTGTGCCGGTTCTTAAGTGGGACACCCTGTATATATTTTTATGCAACTTTTAGCGGTTTAACGTGTAGAACGTTATCAGAATTCGGCCTGAGCGGGCTCCATCATCCCGCCGAGGCCGTGAGAAAAGTGGCCGAAAAAATCCTGGTGTTAGTATACAGGGTGAACGCCAGATTAGTGAGAAAACAGCTACCGCCCGACGATGACATAACCAGAAGGAATTTGTTGTATAGACAATTGTTTCAAGAATTCGATAAGATCGATTTGGAGGTAAGATGAGATGGTACTAAAGACGTTGAATTTTTTAATTGAACTATTACAGATTGTGGAATGTTGCTATTTGGCAAGTTGTGAAGAATTTCATTCGATTGGGGTAATTTTATTTGAATTTATAGCGTATAAAAAGTTTAGTTGAATGCGTACAATACAGGGTGTCCTAAAGAAAACTAGCCCATTTAATCAGCTTATAACTTTTAAACGCCTAAGCAACTTTTTTTACAAGGACACGTAAATTATGAACATATATTCTGAAAGAACTCTTCTACTTTTAAAAAATGTATTATTTGCACATGTTATTCTACAAAAAAGGTGTCCCATTTCATAAAATTTCATTAATGTCAATTGAAAAGACACCCTGTACAGGTGATACAAAATGCCTGTCTCACTGTAACAATTCTTATAACAAAATAAAACATATCAGCGAAAATCGCATGTTTTTATAATTATGTTCGTTTAAAAATTACGAACCGATTAAATGGGCTACTTTTCGTTGGGTCATCCTGTAGTGGTAAACGGACGTTTTAATGACCCAGAAATCACTAATTAATCTCTCTTGCACATCTTGATTTTTTCTCCACATACAACTCTCCTCGAGCTTAAAGCGTAGATTTTTACCCCAGCTAAGAATTTATTAACTATTTCTTGTACAAAAAATCTACGGATTTTTAGAGAAAAAGGGAAATGCAGGAGAAAAACCGGCTGCTACAAGAAACCACTAGCCCCGATTTAATTCCGAACGGCAGGCAAGAGCTGAGCAAATGCCTGAGCGCCGGCAATTTGAAAGATCCTTCCGCGCAAAACGGATCCGCCCGAAACAACTCGCTGTCGAAGAGCCAAAGCGGAATCGGGATCAACGTGCAATCGAACGGCGCTCAAGAGAAGAGCTCCAGCTCGGCCAGCGCCGTCTCGTCGCCCAGCATACACTCCCAAAAAGACGAAGAAATCGAAAAGTAAGTGTAAACAGCGCTAAACAACGGTGTACATTTTTACACCGCAAAATGATTCGTTTCTTTCCAGGCGATGCATCTTCTGCAAACAGCCGGAAAGTTCGATATTTTCAGTGAGCAATTCGATGAACTCGCATTACTGGAGGTGGTGCCCGATGCTGATACGCTGCAAGGAGTGCAGCCAGGTCGTGGAGGTGTCGACGTTGATCGAGCACTTGCTGATGGAGTGCGATAAAAGGGGGGAGTATTCGCAGTGCTCGGGCTGCTCGGAGGCGTATAAAGCTTGCGAGAAGCAGGCGCACGGGGATACGTGCAAAGGTTTGTGTTCGATCGAGTTACTAATTATGCATAACGATTTCCAGTCTTATTCATAGTCGTATTTAGTGGCTACCTACACACTACTAATATCCCACTATCGTATTTATAGTTCCATTTAGTGGCTACTAAGATGTTATTTTTGTTGGTAGCCATTAAATTTCTTAGTGGCGTTACAAGGGGTGTTTAAGTTACTTTTAAACATAATTTAAAACGTCAACAAACGTCCAGTGCGTGAAATCTAGCGTTCACAGCGTCTTTCCTGACTTTTTACAGTGTGTTTACTACTCTTTTGCTAAGTATCTCATCGTTGCTAATATTTGAATTTCAACTGGATTTCGAATTATACATTTACTTCTTCAGCTTCTTACATGCACCTTTCTAAAAATATCTAAGGCTAACTAATAACGATATACTTTATTTCAAAAGCTGGTAGTCCCAATATTTCAAAAAGACTGGCAAAGATGTTGAAAAAGAACAGTTTTTAAAACAAGGAATTTTATCCTTTTTCCCATCACCCATTCAATTGATCTCAGCAAGTGCGTCTGACACAATAACGTCAATAACATAACCAAAATCCCGAATATAAAATAAAATTTTAAGTTATTTCCGTTGTTGCCACATTCATTTTTCTGCTAGCATTATTTTAACTAGTGGGAAAGAAATATGCGACTATGAATAGGAAACGTTAGTGGCTTGTTAGTATGATGTTAGTGGCCACTAAATAGTGCTGTTTTAACATCATTCTAATCATCGGAGGCGACTATAAATAAGGCTGTTCGTGGTTTTTTTAGAGTTGTCAGAAAATTGCAACAGATGTCCGTTGTGCCACGAAAACCTGACAGTGGACGAGGATTGCTGGAGGGTGCATTTGATGGGTGATAATCCTTGTCCGAAGAATGCTAGAATTAAATTGGTGAAACAGAAACACGTGAAAATTGTGGGTTGAAGAATTAGTTCAATTTTACTCAGATTCCTGTTGTTGCTGGAAAAATTAAAATTGCGTCCTTTTTGATAATTATATTCACTAACTTTTGTGATTAATATTTTGCAATACAGGGTGCCCCAACGAAGAGTAGCCTATTTAATCGGTTCGTAATTTTTAAACGACTAATTATAAAAACATGCTGTTTTCGCTCATATGTTTTATTTTGTTATAAATCTTGTTACAGTGAGGCAGACATTTTGTATTACCAGTACAGGGTGTCTTATCAAAATCCCCTCTTTTCAATTAACATTAATGAAATTTTGTAAAATGGGACACCTTCTGTGAAAACTGCATGTTTTTATGATTAGGCGTTTAAAAGTTATAAGCTTATTAAATGGGCTACTTTTCATTATACACCCTGTGTATATTAGTGATATTACACTTTGTGTAATTTTTTGTAAGGTTCTGTTGCACAATAAATTGCCTCATCTGTTAACGAACGTTATTCACATAGGTAAATTTATGATTGTCCACAGGGTAATAATAAATGTTAATAATATTTGTATTTGTAATTATGTGCAATGTTTAGTTGAAGTTTGTTTATTGATTCGTTTCTAATTTATTACGTTGTATTTTCGAATTTAAATAAATCAACACTTGAAAACAATTTTTTTTTCCATTAATGGATATAGCAGGAGTATTAAATTTTATTATATACATTTTTTTGGAAAACATGCATTTACATGTATGTATTGACGTAAAATCATGCTATCACAATATTGGGCTTCCATCTTTCCGCAAATAATACAAAATATATCGTGTTTATCTGAAAGCCACAAAGTCAATTTAAAAATTCAATTTAGTCTTGGTCTATCGAGGCCACATTTTTGATTCTATACTCTTTTATTCGTTTATAGTTTTGATGCAACATGCATCGCAACACAATTTAAACGTTGTTGATTTACCATTTAAAAGTCGATGTTTTTAATGGCGAAACAATTTTAGTGTATCGAACGTTTAGAATCTTCTACGTTTCATCAATTGACCAGAATGCTCGATTAATTAAAGATTTTTTTAAACTTTCGTAATATACAAGGTGTAACAGAAAGATGGGTCACAAATAATTATACAGCATATTCTGGGCTCAAAAAAAAGTCGATTCGACCCTTTACCTATATCCAAAAAGCCCTGCAAAGCAAGTTATAGCCTATTTAAAGATCGATTTTTTAAGCCATAAAATTTGGCTCATATTATACCAAGAGAATTTTTTCGAAGAAAAAATTAACAAAATGGGAAACCCCCATAAAATTCTTAGGAGATCACATGTACATGTACATTTCAATCCCACTCTATTTTTCTTCTATTTTATATTTAGCTTATTTTTTATGTTCACAATAGTGTAATTATTTTACATACTTTTTACCAATTAATTTTTATTCGAAAAATCCATAATTTTGTTACCACCCTGTACATACTCGAATTAGAGATGCGACGCTTTATTAAGTACTTTATAACTGTTATATAGGAACTTACACCGTGTAATATTACTCATCCATTTTTAGCAATAAGGGGGTGGCGAAATTTTAAGAATGCTGTGATTCCCAGCGACACATCCTGATCTTTTCCTAGTCCGGTAACCCGATCGGGGCGCGTTGGATTTATTTACCGTGACAGAGCACTCGAAGAGCCGTTTCACGGCGAGTTGCGTCTAATTGGCGGCCCTTTGGGCAAACACTCGAGCTCTAACCACAGCTGCTACTGTACTGTATATTGTATGTGTATGTGTGTGCAGCGTGCACCTCACTTTAAAAGCACACTGACGTTGTGTCAACACGACAAATTACTATTGCTTTTTCGTATTTAAAGAATTAGTGGGTCAATATTGACACGGGGACATCTCTTTGTTCCGCTGCATCGCAATTTATTTCGAATTTGAGGGGTTTTGTGGAAAAGAAACATGGCCTTTCTATTTGTTGCCCTGGTGGAACAATATCATCAAAAAGACTACATTAGGTAACTCAATTTTTACTTTATATCGCAAACTCATCATGAATTGACCCATGCACATCAAAATGAAAGTAGGGCATTAGAGTATTACCATATTAGCCGGTAAAAAAGCGCCGGGGATTTACCCGGGGTGGCCGTGATTTAAATGAAAGTCGACGAACCGTGCTCCCCGGAGGATTAGGAATTTTTCGCAATGTTAGACACGCATTCTTCGTATTCTTCGTGCAGCTCTCGAACACAAAACTTCATCGGGACCGCGACTAACACGAACGACAAATAATACCGACGATATGTTTACATATATTTCTCTATTTTTATATAGAGTGGAACTCGAGCTTTGATAGAGCCGCTTTCTTTCCCTTAAGATATGTGGATATGCAAAAGTATTGTAAGGGTATATCTTAACAAAGAAGTAACGCTTGATTCCGGCTATTACAATGGGTTTTATTTGTTTAAGACAAATATGATTGTGAGTATATACCCATTAATAATGCACAGAAACGAACGATTTGTGTTTTTACGAATGATTTAGTTTCTTTAAAAAATAAGTACCTACCCATATTAGGTATTTCTTCAACTACTTTTTAGAATAGAAAACTGAATACTTTCTTCACTTTTACATTTTCGGATATCAGGAATTTTCTATTCTACTGGCTATTATTAAAGCTAGAAAGAGTTAGAATTTTACTCCCCAATGTTTAATGTACCATTAAAGGTATACTATATAAAAATGAACTTTTTTATATAAAAAGCAACTTATATACCATATGTCTATTTGAAAATCCTTATTTGTCGTGGGTATATGTAAATCCATTAGCGTTTTGTGTCGTTAGCGGATGTGGGACATTCGATATTTAATAGATGCATGGCGTTTACAGTAAACACTATTAAATTAAAACGGGCACGGGAGCGGCCCGATTTCATATTAGGGGCAATTTGGGTGGACATTTAGCCATGTGTCGCTTGGATATTCGGTTATTCAAATAGATATTACCTGATAAAAAATATAGGTGCCTTTCTTATGCGTGTTCTATTATACGAATTATTGAAAATATTGTTTTGATTAATTTTGAAAGCATGTTTCCAGTAAACTGTGTAGTTACTCGACGCAAAATTTTGGCAAATTTTAGGCTCTCCCACGACAAAAATTTAATATTAATCCGTTGTTCAACGGACCTGTGCACCTCTTGCTCAGACATGATGGTACTAACAGCCAATCGGCTCTAATGAGGCAAACTGATTTACTCACCTTTACTTTACATCCCCTTGCAACATTTATCAAGACGTCATATTACTCACCTTACATAGGGATCGTTTAAAAGAAAATTCCGGTTCATATTTGATTCGCCCTCGTATTACAAAAATGTCAGTAAAAAATACACTTTTTTTAAAGTGTATCTTGATTTTCATATGTATTAATTGTGCTGTATTTATCAGAGAAACCTTTATTTGTAAAATTACAATATTACCATAAGTATATTTTTATATGAACATTTTAATAACTACAAACAACTAAAAGTGGTGCATAAAAAGTGAGAGGATATTAAATAAAATAAACTACAGAAAGAATTGTTCACATTTCCATCAAAATCTGCTGAAGAATCTTCAGTTAAACCAATAATATTTTTATTTTTCCTCGCGTTCGCTTCATCGCAACATAATTTACCATAAAGTTTACACCAGACATGATATATAGAGGGGATTGGATTTTAATTTAAAATTTTTACTTTAACAGAGTGTAAAATCCCAGTCGCCTAAGGCGCGCACGGGGGATTTACGCGCGTTGATCTTGGCAACGCCAACTTTATTTCCCAAAGCCTAAGCCTACTTTCTGACAACTCATCGTTGTAATTACTTTATCACTATAACGGCTCTTCGAATTTGCGCTCTCAAATTTCGCAAATTACTTCAATTACTACATAATGAATAGTTAATAATTATAGAATATTATTTTTTTTGAATTTGTCTACAATTTTTAGTGATAGTTTTAATCGTCTCATAATGTGATTCTTAACACAATATTTATTAGGATAGGTAATAAGTGAATTAATTCGCGCAACTATTAAAAAGTTGTGAAGAATCCCAATAGCTTTAAATGGGTGGAGAAAACCCCCATGGTTGAATAATAAACCTCGGTTTTGTAGCGTCGCAGAGCGGCATCGTTTAGTGGCCGAAACTTATTCCGACGAAGGGTGTGGGACAAAAGGGCTTCGGAGGTCTCTATATAGGTGTGTCCCTCGTGTGGGGTCCTTTCCGAATTCGAATGCATATCTGGTAATATTCGGGCCTGTCAACAAACAAGGGATTAGCGATTGTGTTGTTAAACTGTTTGTAATCGATATATGCGAGAGAGGACTACTGGGCGTGCATTTTCTAACAAATAGAATTCTATTTTGTTGCTTTATGTGAACGTTGATGAGGTACAATATGTATGCATATTGTCGGTATTTTTTGTTGGGTGTTATTTAGAAAATCAGCGTCTCTATTTGAATGGTAAAAATTCGTATAGGATATAAATTTTATACAAAATATATTGGCCCGTATTCAGCGCCTCACTTTAAACTTAAAGATGGCTTTAAAAGGTCGCTTTAACGTAAACAAAGTTCTTAGTTACTGCATAATAACAATGTATAACTGATGTCAAGTTAGAGACGCGACTTTAAAGTCTTTAAAGTTTGAGGTTAAAACTGAGGCCATTTATGGACCATTTATGTAGTATAATTTTTATGAATAAAAGAAGACAATAAAGTGGCTTTTACATCAAACCAAATCTAAACATCTCATACACAAACTCCAAAAATTGTACACCCTAAATTTCTAAAATACTACATTATAGGTATTACTTAACGAGACCTAAACTTGGATCAATATTATGTAATTAAATTCCCTTCAGCAGAGAAATTTTATGTTATAATAACACTATTAGAGAGGGACAAAATGCTTATCGTTGGATTAAAAAAAAAACTTGTTGACAACCAAAAAACCCGTACATTAAATTCAATTCGCATAGGTATAACATGCAGCTCGACAATGCGCGCAGGGGAAATTATTAAAAATAATCCGGGGATACAATAAAAACGGCCATTGTGGAACGTTCGGCGATACGCCCAAAATACCAGATGCTGATCTCCGATCTGTACGTGGGGTTGAAATAAATCCATCTCTAATCCGGCAATGTGGATTAGAGTTTTATGAAAGAAGAAAGAAGCAATCGCTGCATTTGACAGTTGTGATGTAGGTCCGAAATCGGGCTAATCTGAAAATTTTGGCCCGATGCGAATTTTGTAAAAGGCAGGACCGGCTTCGCTCAATCTACCAATTTCAATGAAGCACCTCACGTCTTACTACTCACCAAACAAAATAAATTAAAATTTCAAACTAATACCTACTTTACTTCACAAATTTATATTTCTACAAATAAAATAATCATTTTGTAATTCGAATTGAAAAGCGGCTAATTAATTTTTAAGTTTTTTTAAGGTGCAAATTGTATTTTTGGCTGAGTTTGTGGCTGGCCCTGCATGAATTTCGAATGAGAAATACGAGGAATCGGTTTCGAACAAAGCCCGGCACACAATCCGGGTTAGTTTTGTGACCATTTAACGCGTAAAATCGGTCGGAAAGATATTCAAAGAGGCGCTTTACTCAATCTACCGTGCACTTTTTATCCGTTATGAGTTGAGTTCATAACTTTTTTGCCGGACAAATCTCGTTAATATTGTACCTCGGGATTTGGATTTTCTTGTTAGTTTACTCGATTATTTCCGTAATACCTACCACAGGCGAATGTCTTCATTTTATGCGGCTTTAGAATTGGTAAAATTTTAAGGATTTTTAAGAATATCTGCCTATTTAAATAGGGATATATTTCAGATGGATTTAGCTACCTGCTTGGCATAATTAAAAATAATATAATCAGTGCCATAATTAGCAATAAGGGCAATAATTATTCTCTATTCCCTCTATTTCCTCTATTTTTAAAAGTCCTATTTACAAAAATAATTACTTTTGTGTAAAATACGCATTAGTATAGAAAAATAATTTTAAAATACGCCAATATTTTTTTAATTGCCTATCCGTTAACTAACTGTAATCATGGAATTTATTGCACCAAAACAATGGAAATTTCAATTGTAATTACTGGATATAAACATTTACAGTTCAACAGTTTATCGACAGCATCGATATCACGGGGGACGGGTTTGCGCACTTTATTTGCTATTATTAATTAAAATTTATTCGTTATACCCTCTCATTTATGATTTATTGCGTATCGAATATTCGCCCTCTGATGTAAATGCAGTAGGAGCAAAAACGATTGGCAGAGCAATTTATTAGGGATATTTGCGTGCTATTTAAAATGCTAGATTTGCGAATAAAAATGACGATTAAAAATTGAAATTTCTAATTTAAAAATGCCAGGGGCTATCGGCGATTTTTTATTGAAATTATAGTCATTTTTATGGATTTATAGATTTAATTCTACTTATAATTCTTTACATATAAAAGTTTTGTTTCGCATTTTATAGGTATAGTATAGGGATACGTGGTGAAATATCTAATATAGGTTAAACTGAATTTACCAATATTTAAATATGCATCACTATGAAAACTAGGGAAGGTACATTAAAGGGCGCCATTTTAAGCTCGATCCGTGCTTTTAGATTTTAGGAAATAAGTATTTTCAAAAATAAAAAATGCAAGAAATAATCCAAAAGATTTATTAGGAAATAATTAGGTGTATACAATAATGTACAAATAAATAAACATATGATTATACTAATCTGGATAAAATATACAACAATATTTGGATATTAAAATTCTGTTCCTACAAAAGAGTTTATAAAGAAATTGTATAAAAAATAGGGGTTAATACATACAAAATCATTTTTTTGAAATTATAATTTATTTTTCTAGCTGAATTATCATCTTTGTTAGGTACCTATTAGTTATACCTATATTAGTTTTAGCAACAGAATTTTAATAAAACCACTCAATAATATTATTTTTCCCTAACAACACCTATCGACATATTTTTCCATTACACATATTTTGAAACATCACATTTATATTTTTATACAAATATTTCCATAATTTAAGATTTATTTTTATAACTAATCGTGTCTACGTGTGTAGGAATTTAGGTAGCTGTAATATTTGTTTGATACATTTATTTAAAAAAAATCTGGATGTTACCTATTTCTTTAAAAACTTTTAAAACATAATTCAAAGGGAGTACCTATAATTTTGAGAAAAAGAAGATTACAATTGAAGAATTATATTTCTAATTAAAAAAAATAAACAGTATTCAGAAATGCTTTTTGTAAAGTTTTATAACCATTTTTTACCTAATATAATTTACCATTTTTATACATGAACATAATTTACATTAACAAATTAATTAGATATTTATTAAGGTATCCGCTTTAGGTTGCAAATTGTGAACATAAAAATAGTAAAATTTATCAAACCTACCAGAATATTTCAAATAATTTTCATAATTCCATCATTTAAATGCAGATATCCTTAAAAATATTTAGTTACCTACAATAAGATCGATCCTACTACGATATGTAAACTTAAACAGAAACTATGTACAAAAAACAATTATTTCATTGACTAGATAGATATTGTACACTACTGTACATTATACTGTGATGTAATGTTAAATGCACATTACATTTACCAAGTTACCTACTCGACATTTCGAACAGGAAAGAACCGGTACAAATGCCGGCAAGTAAGACCATTCACAGGGGATTCCCGGGGAATTATGCGACCTCTAAATCGGAAGAATCGTCATCGGTGAAACTTTGAGCGCCAGCGGCCTGCCTATTGCACACGACATCTTCTTCTTGGACTTTTCTCAAACGCTCTTGCTCTTCTCTCTTCTGCTTCCTCCATTTCGCACGGCGATTCTTGAACCACACCTGTAACCAAAACAAAACGCCTTCATTAATTCTCTTCTACATATTTCGCTAGTATTAATTTTGTTATGTTTATATTGGGTGATTAAAATTAGGTGTAACTGCTTTTGATAACTTGGTATTAATTGTTAATTAAAGTATGAACGCATAACCAAAGCACATAAAGAAATAAAGCGGCATTTGCCGCGATTAATTCGATAACCACTCCAACATCAAGACCAGCAAAAAGGAACGAGCGAGAACCTTTGTTTGTGTTCGAATAAAATAAAATTCCGGGCCCCTCCGGAGCGGGAATTATTCTGATGCAAATGTATGTTTTATTGCGGAATTGTATTTAGGAAAAAGTCGAGTGCGTTCGCTGTATTATTAGGCTTTCGTCATTTACAGGCGAGGGCGTGCGGGCGACGTCGAGGACGCCTCTCGACGCCGACGAGGCTAATTATATTATAAAAGGCTTCCTTCGGCTTTAGACCGAGGCGTTATCGCCGTTATCTATGAGCGCGAGAGAGGAAATTAATTCGATATCGAATGAGTGTATTATGGGGTTTTGTTCCCGAGATACCTAAATATCTACGATCAGAGAACATGGAATAATTTATCAGTAAATAAATTAGGTACATAAAATCCCTATAAGGCTATATGTGCATCAGTGTCCCGGATAAGGATGAATAGATCATTAAAAGAATCAACGAAATCAATGAAACCCATCATCATTATTTGGTTAAAAAAGATTTTGAATACCTCATTTGTGTTTTTGAGTTAAAAGGTGAATTTTTCAATTTTGCTATAATTATTCCCCATATACCTATAAACATTGAATATAAGGTCATACGTATGTCTAATGCATGTTATTTTTATTCAGATATACCTATAGAAGAAATAAGAATAATATTAAAGTATAAAAGAAAAGAAAATTACTCATTGAGAAAAAAGCAGAATCCTGACGATTGTAAATTGTATGAGGAAAATCCGTGGAAATCGCTGCTCATTTAACAGAGTAAAAGCGCCATAATAATAAAAAATAAAATATGAGATAAATTAAACGGGAAAACAGACGGAGCCAGCAGACACCGAGAGAAAACCCGTTGTTTCTTTTTCCTCTTTCGTTTCGTTACGTTTCGTGTCGTCTCTCTCGATGTGTATTTAAATACGAGAAATGGCAGAGATTCATTCGGCTGACTGGCAATTTCCCCGCAATATAAATAACAGGCAAAGCAGTTTAGTTAGTTTAGCAAATGGAGCGAATGTTTTGACAGTCTTCCTTCCTCGATATCGAGAGCATCGAGCTCTCCTCTCTCGATTACGACGGGATAAAATATCTATCTCGGTTTCTCAATCGAGTAAATACAAAAATCACAATCTCTGCCATAGACGCCACCAATGGGGTGTAGCAGAAGGGGTAATTAAAATTATATCTTCTATCCCCAGCATCTTTTAATATACTTATAAGATTTTTCTGTATAAATGAAGAAAACCAGAATGATTTTTTAAACATTTTCAAAACTATTATCTTTGATAATTTCCTGTCTTTCTGAATAATGTTCTGTTTAAATTTGCGACATTTAATATTTATACTTAAAATGTTTTGCATTTAACAACTCCTATTAATAATTCAACGAGCCCTTGAGGGAATTTTCGCACTTTCCTACCAAATTCTGAATTCCGGCATTCCGTGAGAATATTAATCCTTATTCTCCTGCGGTTGTTCACACATTCAATTGCCTCACAAAAATATTTATTGTCATCACGTTTCTTATATTCAAAAATATTACAAAAATAGGTATTACATTTTCTTGTGACCTTAAAATCAATCAAAAAAATAATTCTAGTAATTACAATATGTCTATTTGGTGAAGTTCAATTCGAAAATCTGATTTTTCCCCATAAGGAACGACAATGAGAAAGTTCAAACATTTAATGCGGTAATTTCTCGACATCGAAAAGGCTTCATCGCTCTTTTTGTATAAGAAATTAGCGTTCGAAATGAATATTAACAAAGTTGTTTCGCGATTTGCATGCTCCTTATTAATCACTCGAGCAGCTTCAGCTTCGACTTTCGCCTCATTAATTCTCGCTTAACTTTGATTGTTTTCCGAACGGTTAGTTAATTGCAAATTTAGATTTTCCGCCGAGAGGAAAACTTATTTCTTCTCTTTTCGCCTCGGCTCCGGCTCGGGTTTTTTCCCCTTCCCTGCCGTGCCCGTTTTTCACAAAGATATTATATTGCTATATCTCGATAAACGGGCTCTCAATTAGTCCCAGTTTAATAACTTTAATAACTTGAGTTTAAACTTTATCTTATGCGAGAACTGCGAATATCGTACTTTGGAGGTTTCAAGTCATGAACCTCCATTATTACTTTTAATACCTATATTTTATTAACCCCCTTATAATTCTTTAGTTTTAGAATCACCAATGGTACCAATTCTTTGTTTACCTATGAAATAGAAATGGGGCTTCTCTCTGTAAAACTGACATCAACATTTAATTCCATCTATTTGAGCAACACGCTCGACCGTATCATCCCTTACACCTGGCGTTTCTTCACCGGATTAACCCCACGTCTGCACGATTTCAAAGGCAAGTACCGGAGGAATTGTTAAATTGTTCAAAAAGAAAGCTCTTTTACCTTGTGAAAAAGTACTATCGGCGGCGAAAAGACTATTTTAAAGAAAGCCACACTCAATTAACAAACTGCCAGTTGTAAAATAGACATTAAAACAACATCAGGAAAAATTAATAATTGAAGAAATGATGATGATTTTATTAGATTATAGAAGTGCCTTGTACATTTCATCCCAAGTATCGCTTTTTAAAATAAACAAATAAATAAAGAGTGATGTACTAATGACTAATGCAGTTAAGCGGGGGGCTCGGTTGAGAGGGTGGTTTTCACTTATCAAAACACAGTTATAATAATCCACGTCATTGTTCCCCGAGAATAAACGCCTGCAAAATCCACATTCAATACCTCCGTCATATCATATCTCATTAATATATACAGTCATATTCTCTGATGATATAATTCGAATGTTTGTTTTGCGTTAGAGCTCAATATACGTGCCTCAGTGGCGCAACTCAATATTTTTTACTCTAAATACATCCTTCATTTAGATAAAGGAAAGGTTTTTTGTAGGTAGTTTGTGGTAGGTTGTGATTCTGAGGAGGTGGTAGAAAAGTATTGTATGAATTGAATATAAACTGAATATTTTTTAACTAAATACAACTTCCATTAGTCTCATGCATATAAAGGAAAAAGAAAGAGTGATATTTGTAGGGTTGCAACTTTCATTCTAACCACTATTTTAATAATCTTTCTTTGTTCAACTCAATAGAATTGACCATATTGCAAACAAATTTGCTTTACAAAGAAAATGCTATACAGATAAGTGCAAATTTGTAAGCAATAAGATCATAAAATTGACCATATTGCAAACAAATCTGCACTTACCCATATATTTGACATAAAAAAGAATAATTAAGTAGGCCATGTTTTTGAGGCGGTCGTAGAAAAACTAATGTAATAAGAATCGATTGATTTTCAATTTTTGGAAAATCAAAATAAAGTGATTATTAAATACGATTTAATTTGTGCCAACTTATACATATAAAAAGGGAATTAAAAAATGGCACGTAGGCTTGTATAAAGCATAAAAGAGGAGAAAAAAAGAACGTCGGGCGGGGGTGGTGGTGGTGGTGGTGCGCTCGAGGCCAACTCGATCGAATAACTGTAATTAACCTTCCGCCTGAATTTTTGATCCACTTGAAACAATGGAATGTTTTGAGACTAAACAAAATTAGCCCTCCCCGATGTTGATACGCGGTAATAGAATAATCTGGCGGAGCGACGGTAAAACAAGCGAGCGGCGGCGGCGGCGGCGGCGAACGCGAAACACGCCCGAATCGCATCGGCCTGGCTGGGGCACAAGCTAAACAACGCCGAATGGGAAAACGAGAGAGAGACCATCGCGGTCTAACTTAATTGAATTATACAGCGGCGATATGCCGGGAATAATGCTAAATAATAAAACGCATTGTGCGGCTTTGATGGATTATTTTTAAGCTAAAAAGTACGTAGTATGTTTTGTTATTTGATATACATGCAACGCCACATTTATGTAAATCTCTAATATCGTAATACTCGTAATATCTAGTTTACCTACGGACATATACAAACTATTCTAAAAGAATTATTAGGTACTAGATAATACTATATTATAATATAGCCCTCAATAATTTTAGTGTGTGCCACGATGATGGGCCATTAAAAAAGTGACTGGAAAAGTAGTACTACTACTAATTTCGATATAAAATAAAAAAGTCTAGAGGATTCAAGTCTGGCGATCGAGCGAGTCATTTCAAGGATCATTATATTAGCAAAGTAAAATAACTCAATCAAAAGAGCTTCCAAGGGAAAGTAAATTGTCAGGCCCATTATTTTAGCATCTCACAATGAAATAGCTACTTTTACATAAACATGGAAAATATAGCTAAAATTGCTACATATTTTGAATTCTTCCTAGTCATGCATGCGTATGACAGGAGGCGGGAACATTTGGTTGAAAATATTTTTATTCAAACTATACTATTAGTACTCCAGATCATTCAAAAGAGCCTTCATCGTGACACATTATACAGTGCGTTTCTGGATGGAGTAATATGGAGTTTAATAGAGAATATTTTTTAGTAATAGGTAGGTACTTCGATAATACTTAAATATCTGCAACTTTCCAGGATCCCAAAGGATACCGAAATATCCGAATGATTCCAAAAAGGAACCCCGTTTTACAAAATCCTATATTGATAATCTTAGTGTTATTTATGGTTGCAATATGCATTATCTACTTAATTAAAATAAATTTTAATTCCATTATTAGTTCAAATAAGGACCATATTGGAAGCTGACCTCAAGCTTAATGCCTACTATACCAAGTTCACCACATCCTTGGATTTTAATATTCCTCTGAACCATTTTGAAACACATACACACAACATTAAGGAGT